TGGTCTAACTTGTATATGTATTGGAGATTGGACTAAAATTGGAATATAAATACCTTTAGAAGCCTTCATATGCCAAATCCACAACCGAGTTTGGCCACAAAACCAATACATCTGAGAAACAACCTCACAAATCCATCAGGGAAGGATATCTGTGCTAGTGGCACTCTTGATTTAAGGAAAAAAAAATATTAGCTGGACTCTTCCTACTGGAAGAGGCTTTGAAGGTTTCTTAATGATTTGCTTTTGTACTTTCAGATATATTGATTTCATTTTTTGCTTTGCTCTGTTGTTTAATTTATGCTATACCTTTCCCTGTGCCCTTTATTGTGCTTTGCCTAATCTTGTATCTTTTACACTGTAGCCACCCAGGGTTATTCACCAAGGAACACATGCCCAGTACTTAAAAGCAACATGTGCACTATAAGGCAGGACCCGTGTGGAAACACGCTGCTCTGGGTTGTAATTCAGGCAGCTCCAAAGCTTCACACATTCCAGGATCTGTGTTTTGTAGTTCAGACTAGCTGACATCATTGCCCGAGCTTTGGTTGTGCACAGAATTAAAAGTCATAGTACACCTCACCACAGAAACAGAGAGCAAAGATGCTTCCAGAAAATGAAACTCCTAGTAAACTCTTGACAAAAAGAAACAAAAGTTCTTATTTCAGTTCTGCCCTGGAGAAAACAGAGCTTGTAGACTGTACAGATAAAAAGTCTGATGTGTTTAAAAATGAAAATAATTTATAGTGTCAGTAGTCTTTTTCTCTTTTCCCCTCTATGTCACTTTAGTCATTCTCAAAGACAGGCCATTAATCCTACTTACAGTGAGTGATGGTCGCTTCAGCTGCAGGAGTGAGGTCATTGATTTACGGAGGTTATAGCTGCACTTGGGAGCATGAGATGAAGGAAGAGTTGACTGAGATTTTTTGCATAATGTGAGCATATTGGCTTTCCTTTAAACAAGGATTTTTAAAAATTCTGCTCCTAACAGTCTTTACAGCAGCCATTAGTTCTAGCTGAGAAGCAGGACTGATGTTGAACAGGAGACAGGAAGAAGGGCTGAGGAGGAATCAAATGGCATAAACCAGAGTAACTTACAGTATGAACAAGGGCTATCACTACTTCAGGATAACAGAATAATCTTGTTTCAGTTAATGAACACGGGAATTTGTGGAAAACATTTTAATATAAAAACTACCAGCAATATGCCTCATTGTTTATGTAAAACTAAATCACTATTTGAGACAGAACTAAAAGATGCATAATTAATATGTCTTTTTAAGTGCATGGCCAAGTTTTTGTCAGGGAGACTGGTATTTTGTGTTGCTCTGAGGGAACCCAGAACAAACACGGACAACCTCTTTGCTGACATGGCATAACACTAATGACAAAAAGCCACAAGAAGCCATCCTTTGCAGTGCAAGGCTGATACGGCCTTTGGAATCTAGAGATTTAAGAAAAGTGCTTAATATCCTCTTTCTTTTTTAAAAAAATGTGCAATGGAGTGAGCATTTCTCATAGTCATCCATTAGTCCACCCCTAGTCATCTCATAGTCCATCCACAGTATCTCAAACCACCACTATACCTTGGGACCTATACAGGACTTCAGGAGGTCCAGTGCAGCTCCTGCTGTCATAGAAAGCATTTCTTCATGTTCATCCAGCCCCAGATCCAGTTTGAGAGGACTTTGGTCTTACTCCACTCAATGGAGAGTTTGTTTGCTGTCATTTCATTAGCACATAGCCACAGAAAACATCAGCACCTGAAGGCTGTAATTAGAGGTAGTGGGTTTCAGGAGCAAAAGAAATTGCAAAGGCATCTCAAGAGATTAGACCAGTAGAGTCAGCCATAAGAGGTTCAGTACCAACAGAAAACACTTTAAAACAAGTATCTGCTTCTTTATGTAATAGAGGGGAAGGGAAAGGAGAGAATCTAGCCATTGTTTTTAATCTCCTCTCATCAGTTAAGTGTTACTCTTTTATGTACTTCAGGAGAAAGTAGATCTAAGATATGGGAATTGGAAATTGCCCAGTTAAGGATTTTCCTTAAAGTTAACAGCCTAGAAGAGCTGAGATCAACTTTCAAAACGGTGAACTGTAGTTTGGGACATACGTACCCTGAAAAAACTTTTTCTTCTTAATGCTTTGTAATAGCTAAAGTCAAATGAAAATGAGGTTTTCTTTGGTATTAGCTTGAAATTTGTTCACTTGAGATAGCTTCTTGTGTGGGGTCTCTGACTATATGGTAACTAACAATATAAAAATGATGCCAATTTGATCAAACATGTGGTGGACCAATCAGGATTTTGTTTGGGCAATACAGTTAAGACTATATAGTATGTGCTGCTGGGGTGTTCAACAAATATTACAGAAAAAAAATCATGCAACGTATCTAAGCATTGCCTCAGGCACACCACAAACTTTTAATAGACTAGACTAGGAAAAATGATTACAAATTAAGGTTTGATTCCTAGCTCTGGACCATTATTGCTCTTGTATAAAAAGGGGAATACACTTCTTTACCTCACCCTTCCTACCTGTGAAGAAGGAAGATGTAAAGGTGAATCTTGTAAATGGGCCTTGTGATCTTAACTGACAGAAATATTTTGGGCTAAGGAAAGAAATCTGCAGCAAGATTTGCCAGGGTGTTTGCCAAACCAAAGCCTGAACTCAATGCCCAACTTATTTTCCATGAAGGAATATTCATAAAGAATTATAAATTCAGGAGATATAAATTGTTGTACAGGTGAGCCATATCATCTAACTAGCCACCTAAATCTGCTCTGGGAAGAAATAAGACTAAGCTGTCAAACCCTTGCTTTGATCTAATATCTGGATTTAGAGGCTCATTAAATTATTTTTTATATGCTTGAGCATAGAGCACCATTACTTGCCATTTGTGATGGGACAGCCTTAAAAAACTTCAGAGGGATAAATATTCAGTGATTCCAAACAGCCTTAAAAATGCCAAGGCAACGTATTCATTCTTTCTGTATCTGTAGTGGCCACAATTGCTGCGATTGCTTGCTACGCCCATTCTTGACTGGTGTGCAAACCCCTGCCTGGCCATCCTGGTCCCTTACCCCAATGGTGCAGAGCAGCCAGTTCTCACGACGCCGAAGCTGTGACTCCTGTTGTAACAAGTGAAGCTGTCTTCTGTACTGGTGTCTGTGCTGGTAGTGGTGCTTTCAAGTAACACAATATCTGATGGTTTGTTTTCTAAGCTGTTTTACATTGAGAAGCCGGACAAAGATAAACAGTAAATGAGAAGAGACAGAGACAAAAGATGGTAGAAACAGGCAGGTGTTCTTTATTTCATGTGGCACAGCATTAGGCAGACAACCCAAGAAACAGTTTCTAACAAAAACCAAAGTTATCGCTTCCAGGAACCATGCCCCAAACAAAGGTCTACTGCCAACAGTGGCACCGAGATGTCCTTGCCTGTCCACTCTTATCTCCTCATAGGTTGCATATGTTTAGGCCATATCTTAGCTGTGAGCGTCCTTTCCAAGGAGACTAACTTCTTATGATACAAAATCTTTCGACAGCATACATCCTGTGCAGTATCACCAAAGTACAATCTCCTCAAGCCATGCTAAAATATAACGCTAACTCTGGAGAGAAGGCTGTGCAATCGCCCCGCGTCTCTCTGAGGTAATACAATGCTGTTTCTTAGCTGACAACATGAGGGGCACCTGAGGGAAGATCAGTATGGCTTCAGAGCCAATTTTTAAACTCCTGATGCAGTAATGAGAACCTGGCATGCCATCTGCTGCGATACAGGGTGAGTACCTCCTTCATCCCGGCTGCCACCAGGCGCTGCCAGCACCAGAGAGCTGAGCCTACTGTCACCGAGAGGGCTGAGAACATAGATGCTCTTAGACTAGGAGAAGGAGAGGTCAATCAAAGATCACAGCAGACCATCTTTGCACTGGTCATTAGGCAAGAGATAAGCAATGATGGCAGCAGGGGGAGTTACACAGTTAGCACTCTGGATTAAAGGCATGAAGAATGGCTGGTGGAAGGAAGACATTTTAGAGACTAAGTGCAAAGCTTTAAAAGCCTTGGGATATTACCTTTAATTATTATCTACAGGTTATTCTCTCTATATATACTATTTTTCTTTCTAAATTAAGAAAATAAACATTTATTAACAAGTCACTGGGTCAAGTCCAGCTCTTCACTGAAGCCAAATCCATTGTCTTCAATGTGAGGGATCCCCGTGTAAACAACGATGGGCAAATTTAGCCCTTTTATGTCCTGAAAAATCTGCTTGTACCCATTTCTTTCAATCCTGCAAGGAAATACAGACTGAAGGGTGAACTGATTGTTATAAACTTCTCTTGAACTACCAAGGGAGCATCAACAAGATGTGGCAAAGGAGCAAGTAAAAGGAACAGATAAGTAAGTACTGCTTTAAAGAGAGAATTTTATCCATGTCTCAGAGCAAAAGTACAAAAAGAGGGGGTTTGGATCAAGCGTTCCTGGCCTTTACTTTCTAAGCAACCAGAAAATCCTTCATTTAGCCTTGGTGAAACAGTACACAACCAGAGAAAACAGAAGGAAATGAATACTCCTTTTCCTTGGCAAACATCATTTGCCCAAAAGTGAACACTGTCATCCCTTCCGATGCTCCACTAACTCCAACTGTCTGCACAGTGCAGTGTCAGCTGCTGAAGACAAGATGTGTCTACTGTGCTGATGAGTAAAAGCTGTGGTGTCTTACAAAAGTAACTTAACATTTTGAATATTAAAAAACTTTAGGTGCTTTTAGACACAGAACAATACGATTTTGGATGCATTTACCACTTTTATTTCACTATGCAGAAACATACATTCACCATGTGTTGTGATGCAGCTGACAGTGTAATGGACGCTATCCCTTCAGTGGGCATTGTAGCTGGACACTAATGAGTTTTCAGTGGATGTTCTGTACAGGTTAAGGCTCGACTTTGAACTAGATAGTAAATGCTGACCAGATTCTCAAACAGATCTTTTTTTTCTTTTTTTCCTCTGAGAAACAAAAGGGAAATCAATAGAAAACCATCACGGTTATTTCAGATTAATAATTTTCTAATGCTGCAAACTAAGTAAAATACATATTTTTTTTTCTCCAAAATAGCTACATATAATTTACAAGGTTAGGATCTGTGAAGGGTGACTGGAAGCCGACTCTGAACAATGCTGACAGAAATCATTAATATACTAAAATCATTACTACCTCATAAGGTATTCAGTCAGGTATACAAAGCACACTTTGTAAGCATTTAAATATTCTGATAAGAGTAAAGATTCATCATTGTTTATCGGGCAGTAATAAAACCAGATGAAACAAAAGTAAGATTCAAGTTGTTTACTGAATAAACTGTGTTATTGGCACATCTAATGTGTGGTACAACATTATACACAGTACCTATACAGCTTCTAGCATTTGGGGGGTAATCTTCATTTACAATATCTGTAAACAAAAGGCTTGCCATCTAACAAATTTTAATTTGTTTAGACTTTCATAAACTGTGAAAGGCATGAACTGTTTATGTGTTACATGAGATCATATATTGTTTATGAACGTGCAGGTATAGCTGAAAACTTAGACATTTTAAGAAAATTAAAAATGCTGCTTTTCTGTAATTTTATCGTTGCTTCATGCAATATTGTTTAACTGCTGCTGATTCAGATTGCTTTCTATGGGAAGGTATCTCTGCCAGTTTCTTTATTAACAGTCAAGATCGATTCTTCTGTACTGAAATTTTCCATAGACAGATAGAAGTCAGTCAGGTTGGAACTGAGACTCTGTATAGGCTCTCGTATTCCTACTGGGGTGCATGTCTGGATTCATATGCAATCTAGGTTATTCCTGCAGGAAAGAGAACCAAGTTAATTATTTTGCCAATTTGTTCATGTAACAAAAGCTACTTGAAAACAGCATCATCCCAGTATAAGCAACTTGGCCAAACTCCGAAGTCTGCTGACGCCAGTGGAAAGAATTAGTGACATCAATAGACTTTTAAGCAAGCCACATTACGTTGTCTCTGAAACGCTTAGCAGAGTACCACAAGAATCACAGCTACTCACTCCTCAGTGACTGGTCCCATCTTCCAAATAAATACCAGATACTGAAATTTAATTTTCTTTAGGGCCTCTATATCCAAAAGCACAAGAGCAAAACAGCTTCAAAAGGTGCTGTGCATCACACTCTGTTACTTACACCAAATGTTAGGGAATATCTATTGTTTTAAGAATAAAGTGCTGCTATCAATTTAAACAAATCAGACAAGCAGCTTTTTTTCTCCCTGTCTGCATACAGCATTCAAAGCAATTTGTGCGATGGTGCTGGCATTAACAGCTTTTGCATGGCAGGTTAGTATGCATGACATGTTTTTTCACACAGAATAAATATAGTAATATTAAGACGTCTGTTTAGCCAGCCACAATTGGAGAGCATGCCTTTAGTGAAAAAAAGCTTGACACAGGAAAAGCTGCATTATCATCTCATCCCAATAAACAATGCTGCTTTAGAATGATAAATGTTCTTTCAAATACAGGAAAGCCAAGACATCCAAATACTGACACACTAATTCACTGGGTTTAAAAGAAAAACCAAAAGCAAGTTGGACCATATCTTTGCAAGTTAGGAATTAAAGCTTAACTTGTAACATATCTGCACAGGACATTTAAAAAGCAGCAGTACATTTTTTCCTTGACATTTTTAAACAAAATGCATACCGTTAAGAACAAATTATTTTTGTTCTTAAATGACATAAAAGCAGGCAACAGATTTTTTTTTTACTTCAGAATTAGAAAATTAGACTGTAACAAAGCATGGACAATGAGGACTTTCCAGAGAGCCAACAAAAGCAAATGAGTAGTTTCTCTTTCTCCATCTGGCACCATTAAGTGAAGAAAGGCATTTAGAGCTGAAAGTGGTTTACATTCAAATACCAGAACTGATAACCAGCACAAATGCAACTTTCAAATGCCAGTGAGAGAAAGCAAAAAGTTAGAGGTGAGTTATGGTAGGAAAACAACCTCTGCAACATGCCAGCCCAGTAAATGCCTAGGAAAATCATCTAGTCCTCTTACCTGTGGTCAATCCTCCCCATCTTCTGGTGTGATTTCTGTCTCTTTATGTACCACTACTTTGGTCACTGACATGTCAGGGTGCTGCTCTTTGGCTTCTTTAATTGCCTGAGCCAGCGCCTATCCCAAGGAAACCACAGAAGGGCAAAAACAAAAAGGAGGTGGAACATGCATGATCAGTAGCAAGGTGGAGAGATTCATGAGATATTACACAATTAACAAATGAGGAAAATGATTAAAATATGAAATATACCATCACTGATTTAACTACTAGTCCAGTTTAATTTAAGGCATGCCACTATGAATCATATCTTTTAAAGCAATGCTTAAAAATGTTCTCTTTGGCAGTCTTCAGGGTAGCCTTTACCAGCTTATCAGTTTTACCTGATCATGATCGATATCAGCATCTCCTGTGATGACTATTCGTTTTTCAATTCTTGTCTCTGAGATGCCTCCTTTCACAGTCTAGATGGGAGGGACAAATGCATGTTAGTAACTTACTTCAAAGAGTGCTGCTACTCATCCAGAGAACAATCAGTGCAGGAATCCAGACGTGCCTGGACTGAAGTATCTCAAACAGGACGCACAGAGGGGACAACCCTGAACTGCAAGCAGAACAACTCTGAAGTTGGCCTGCTCTGAATGGACTAAGATGACCTCCAGAGGTCCTTCAAACACAGATAATTTTATGATTCAAATCAATCTGCACATGTGTTAGAGATGTTTGTATGACAAAAACAGCAGGTATTTAAGGTAAATTCAACCCATGAAGAAAAGAATGGATATACAGACAGCTCATATTAAGACCTAGTTAAGTCCAACTGCAAGCTTCAGAAGGACATACCGGGTGGTATAGCCTTTGTACAGCTCATCTACTGGAGGGTGAATTTAACTACAAAAAGAAAAAATCCCATCCTCGGTGAAGATTGGTAGGAGAGCTGCCACAGCACTAGGAAGGTTTCTGCTTAGGGAGGAACTGTTATTTAGATGCTGTCTTGGAACTTGGAAGACTCAACATCATTTGTCTGTGCAGCCATAAGCTTTCTGTCTGTCCGTGGGCAAGTTCCTTAGGGTACCACTCATCAGTGTGACCGCAGCATCTGAGCTGACTGAATGCCCTGTTACGACAAAATGATACAGATTTACTATGTGTTTTCAACACCATGCAGGGATAGCAACTCAGGACTCAAAGGCTGCATAGTCATGTCAATAGAGCCTCATGCTCGGGCAAATTATTCCTTCCTGGATACCATATGATGCCAACGTGGCTACACTGCTTCCAGTTCCAGACACTATTTGCAGCTCAAGTGTCTCTGCACAGCAATGTTTTGTGCTTGCACAGACATACCCTAAGGCTTTGTGACTTTCAGGACTCTTACCAAGTCCTTGGATGACACCTTAATGAAGCCAGTAAACCCAAAGATAGGTGAAGGAAGACAGGTACCCAAAATAGACAGGATTTTGTCCAGAGAATATAAGCATGTGTCCACATTTTAAAACAAATAACAGAATTGAAGTTAAGAAAACATACACCCTTGTGAAAAACAAAACAAAACAAAACAAAAAAACAAAAAACAAAACCAAACCCTCCCTGTTTTCTGAGGACTCACTTTGGTGATATGTGTAGTGGTTGTAGTGCTGGTAGTTTCAGATGTGATAGTCTGTGCACTCATCAATACACCTGGTTCTGAGTCAGCACTGCAGTCCACCTAGGGAACCGAAAGAGAAAACCAGTCAACAAAAACATGCTCCTGAGCCTCCTGAGGGAGGCAAGAACTGGGTTAGCCAAACTTCCCTATTTCTACAGTTCTTAATAAAGTGAGTGTCTAATGGCAGGGAAACAACTGCTGTTAGGGTGATCACGTGTCAGTATTTTTGTCTGCATCTGGAGACTCCCCTTCACTTCTGGAAGGACAGATGAGAAGCTGGGGCTTTGAAATCTGTAGTTTCATCAATGTTCTCAAAAGGACCTACATCAGGACATGAAAGTCACCCTCTGCTGAGCTATACTTAGGTACATCCTCCTCATGAGAGTATTTAATAGTTGAACAGCTTAGAACAGTTTACACTAAGGCATACACTTAAAGATGGGTGAAGAAACATGGGTTCCTTAAGGCCATGTTAAATTAGACCCTGGATTTTGCAGAATTTCATACCTGAGACGACTCATATGTAATGGTTTTTGTTTCTGTATGGACTACTGGCACTTCCTTTGTCGAAATTTCAAGGTTTTCCCCACCAGCAGAAACGCTACTGAAACTGATGGTCTCAGTCTTCACAACTGGTGACTGTGTGAACAAAAATTGGAATTGGAACATTTAGTAAAGCTTCTGGATTTCTTGGAGTATTATGGGTTCTTTGCTTGGGAAAAGGAGAGGTAACAACTGAAAAATGCTCTGCATTTAAAAAAAAAAAGAAAATTCTCTTCATTATAATGGTACATACATGTATAATGCTGACAACATTTAGCACTATCCTTGATTTCATTAAAGCAAACTTCAGGAAAAATGTAAACGTTACAAGTGGCAATGGGTACAAACTGAAAGACAGGAGGTTCCCTCTGAACATCAGGAAACATTTTTTCACTGTGAGGGTGATCAAGTGCTGGCACAGGTTGCCCAGGGAGGTTGTGGAGTCTCCATCCTTGGAGATATCGAAATGCCATCTGGACATGGTCCTGGGCAACTGTTTCTGGGTGGCCCTGCTTGAGCAGGGGCTGGACCAGATGATCTCCAGAGGTTGTTTCCAACCTTAGCCATTCCAGGATTATACATTTTCTTAAAATGACAAGAGAACAAATCCTACTCAGACTTAGCCTTCCATTCAGCTCTCAGAAAAAAAAAGAAAGAGCAAGAACAAGGATTTTTTAACCTTTCTGCAAAATAATTCTTGAAATTCTGCTGACAGGGCTAAGATAAGAAACCTGGGTTGTTTAAAACACAGTACACTTATTTACAATTGTACCAAGCATGGAAAAAACCCCGCATTTTCTGTCTTTGAGGACACCTGAATTTTGCTAATCTTGATGGACTTTCCCAAAGAACATGCTAGCTGAATTCTTGTTATCCACTGCATAAAACCGTGCCAAATTAGGTATTTCTCTGTAGCATGGAAAGCGCTTTTAGGGAAAATAGGCATGGCATTTTGCCAATACTGGAAAACAGCAACACGCCTTGCAGGTGCCATGTAATGAGGAAATAAGAAGAGAAACAAACTGCCTGCTGTAGAGATGCAATCATAAAAACTAGGTACACTTTGCTTTCCATGAGAGGAATTAACTTAGTTCACTACTGCCTACATTTACAATTCAGCACAGACGTGACTGATTTAATAATGAGTTACCTCAAAATGAGGTTTTCTTTCCAAAGACTCTGAAAGGTGGACTGTTGTACTGTGCTCCTCCGCTTGCTCACACAAAGCAGCAGCAGTCACTCCCTCCTGTTTGGTTAAGGCTTTCCCAGCCTCCTCACTTTTTTCCTCCTTCACCCTCTCAGTCCCAGCAAAGCCCTCCTTCCCTTTCACACCAGCAGCCATCGCCGACGCTGCCTCAGCCTGGGCATCCAGCGGAAGTCCGGCCGCTTTAGCAGGATCCCCACTCGCGTGCCCATTCATCCCGCGTCGCTCCTCGATAACCACAGTCTCCTGTACAACCTTCTTCACTGTATCCTGATGTGGCTGAACTGCTTGCTTAATTTCACTGGAAGTTATCTCCTGAGATGTCGTTGTGTCTATTCTCTACAAGGAAAGAGAAAAAAACCCCTTAGACAACGCTACTTGCAACAGCTCCTCAACGTAATGTACTGTGAACATAAATAAAAAAATGGGTATTACATTTTGCCAATTTATTCCTCTCACGTTGCATGGATTTTCATTATCAGGACATTATCAAAATAGTAGAAATTAAAAACAAAGCAAGAATCACAATTTTTAAAAGCGAGGAGAAATGTCACAATGTTTTTCTCATTGGTATTTTTGTGTGAGTTTCATAAAGGCAAAATACAGCACCCTGCAAAATGACCAAAATAAAATGAAATGAGAGAAAACCTGGGTTTTTTTGTTTTTCTTTTCTTTTTTTTTGGTGAAGTTTCTATTGTGGTCTATTGTAACAAAGGAAAAGGCACACAAATACACGTATTAGTTATACAGGTTCTGAGTTATGCATAAAAACAGGAAACAAAAGAAAAGCAAAAATAATCAGTGTGTGGTCATAATGCTGATGGAGGGAATCAAACGGCCACCTGAGCCCAGCTATGTGAAGTAGAAGTAACCCCTCCTATGAACTCAGTCGGTTTTCGGGCAGACTCTATTAAACTGAAGATATCTGAACCATCCAAGGTTTTTTCGCTGGTGGACTGTTTAGTCTAAATAGACAAAGAAATGTAAAGTCATACACAGAAGAAAGGTAGAGCCACATGCACCAACATATTAATTGCTGAAACTGGAGGCAGAGACGGAGGGGAAGGAGAGAAGGTTGCAGGGGCACAGAGAGTTTGGAAATAGGAAAAGAAAGGGAAAATAAATCAGAGCAAATTCATAATGGCTGTAGTAAGCAATAGTTACGAAGCATAGTTGTTAGCATTGGCATTTTACTGATTCAAGCAAACCCTTTTTTCCCCTTTTATTAACAAGCCATAGCAGCAATACTATATTTCAGTAACATGGATCTTTAAAAAAACTGGAAAGGTTGAAAGCCTTTTATAATGTCTGCTTCAGACCGTGGGACGGATTCAAAGTATGAGGGGGAAAAGAAAAAGCTAGATTGGCTGCTGTCAACATAAAGCCAGGCAGCAAGAGAACCGAAAGGTAGGGTGGTGTGAGGGGATGGCCTAAAAGTCATGCTTTAAACAGTGGCATGAAGTAAAAGCCACTTGTTACCACTACTTTTGACGCAGACGATTCAGTAACATAGTGAGCAGTAGCAATGGTAAATGGCTGTTCTCTGGAATATCTCCACTCAGACAGGCTCTTATCTCTCCGGGCAAATGCCCCTGCTTTTACAGCTTCACTGCCAAGGTGTTTTTCTGCTTTGCCAAGCTGCAAGCTTCCCAGTGTACCATGTAACTGCAAATCCTGGTCCATCTTTAGCGTCTTTTTCAAATTCTGCTCCTCATGACTTTTCAACTGAGATTCTGTTTCCTTTGTGGGTATCAGAGAGTCAGACAGTTTTCTTCTGGTGCTTGGCACATCGGATCCCCGCCTGGCCTTCTCATCAGTGACAGGCTTGAGGATTTCATACTCGGCAACTACCGAAGTGCTTTTCACAGATTCTTGCACTGCCCTTTCCATTTTTTGCAAAGCTTCTACTGAAGGCTGTACTGTTTTCTCGCCTTCTTTAACTTTACTTGCCATGGTTACAATTTTCCCGGATACGGCATCATAGGACTTTCCTAGGGTGAATATTTTCTGCTTATTCTCCTCTTTGGATTGTATTTCACTTTCCAAGTCCTCAAAGCTCTGCATTAGAACGGTACTGGATTTTAATAACTCAGGTGGAAAGGCAGTTTTACTGCTCACAGTCACTACTTTGTATGCCAGACTTTTTTTCAATTCATCATCAACTACCTCAGAGGGTATTTTGTCTACAATAACCCAATCCTCAGTGCCCTATATTTGAGATATAAAAGCTAAATTAGAATATCCAAAGGTTAATCTCTACTTCAGGAGCACTAAAGCATGAAGACTTTTAAGAAATCAATGTTGCCTTTTCTGAAAGCATATAATAACTTTTACCATTGTACCTCTTAGAGCAGTTATCAAACAAATAAACAGCATCACCTTAGGCAAAGTATGACTGCTTTGTAGATTCCCTCCCCTGAGGCGCCCATATAAGGTGGACACAAAGTTACTTTAGACACACTATTTCCTTGAAATTTGAAGCAGGGTAGTGTTTTAATGCATCATTTAAAATGATGATTAGAATAATCCTGAGGTTAAAAATCATATATCACAATGGTTCATAATGCAACAATAAACAACAAATTACAAAAATAGGGCAAATAAGTCCATTCAACTGTTCCCCCGTTGTGACAAGCACACTGTTGATAAGGTTTTATAATAGTATGCATTTTTATGTAGTTGTAGCCTGCACTGAATTTCGTTGTTTTCATTAGAATAATATCAACCCCCTTCAGTGCTGTTTAAATTGAGTAGTACAACACAGTACATGCCACACCACTATAGATACTGAATGGAACTTAATGCAGCATCTTTTTTCCTTTTTATGCAAATACGCTATGTGATTTGCTTTGGCTATGCAATCAGCATCCAGTTATTTGACCTTAAGACCGTAACTTCTGTATTTAACTAAGCAAATGTGCTAGTTTAAAATTGAATGAATTAGAAATAACCTCTAGGGATGATGGGATACTTTTCTGGATAATGATTTGATGAGAAGTAACCAAAGTGCCAGCAGATTCTCCTTCCTGCAGCTTCTTCTCTATCACACTTGGCTAACAGAAAAACCAATAAGAATACAAAATGCACCGTCACTCAGCATAATCTGAATTCACTTGACAGTATAAAGGAAATTCATTCTAATGACAGAAGTGCCCCATTCACCATAACATTCTCAGTGAGGCTCATTTTGGAAATGCATGCACTACTGAAAACAATATCCACAAACAGCACCGTGCAAGTAGATTTCTAAATAGCAGAGAAATCAGTTTGTATTAGGAAGCCATAAGCTCTGGAGAGAACTCATTCATCAGAAATTGTCCCCCAGATTACATGTCTCTCTGGAACTTATGAAATAACAAAATAAAAAGGGGAGGTGGGGGGGGCTTGCAAAGGAAAAAGGATAATAAATCATTGCCAGTCTATGTGACTGCATTTCAAGAAAGCATTATTTGTTTTTACCTGCAATTCAAGGAATGTAGTACCTCCCTTCTGCAAAATTATGAGTTTTTCTGATTTTTCTCTTTCTTCTTTGGTCTAATGTCAGGGGAATAAATGGTTTTAGTAAATGGAGGTTATAAAGTCCACTATACAATAGCCCATCATATTTCTCTACTCTATAAATTATTAATTGCATGGTAAATTAGGAAACAGAATTAAACAGAATAATTTTACAGCAAAGATGTTGCCAATAAGAAGTGAAATCAGTGTTTCTCTGTGATGAACACAGACACAAGCATATTGTTTGTGCAGCAGGAAAAACAGTAAGTTGAATAACACCCGGGTGGTGATGCACTGTGTCCATTTAATCTTACATTATTCATTTAACTGTGTCTCATACCAACTGCCATGGCTTCCATGAACATCCTAGAACAGGTCCCTCCACCTTCACCCTGGCTTTTGCTCTTTCCTGAGTTTGCAGCCTTCCCTGTTGAAGCAGGCAGAAGGTGTGTCCTGCAAAGATTTCAGCTCTTCTTTTCTCCTTACAGGTACAAGAAGTCTCAGAGTCTTTTTCCGAGGCAGGAAGCTAACCATTGCTGTATTATCACTACAGTGTGACACCAAAAACCACCTCACTGTTATCCCATCCGTGCCTTACCAATGCTGTGAGAACAGTAAGAGTATTTCTGCAACTCGATAAACCAAGCAAGTTTTAAGTGTTGGTAAGACTCACTTTCCTAAGCCTCTTGAGCCCAGCTTCTGGGATGACCATGTTTTTCATATGGCCAGGGCAAGTAAGTCCCTGCAGAGCAAAGCAAGTTTCTTGCCAAACCCTTTCTACCCACTTAAACGGCTAGTGTACTCACATTAGACATGCCAATGGAAGTACTATGACTGACATGGAAAAGGGGTACTATATTTTAAATATATATACTCCACATACTCAAGAAGAAAAGCACACATTTAAAGAAAGATATAAAACTAGAAAGTAGGGAGAGGGAGGACTCATCTACCTGACTGCTATGAGATGTATAACTTCTTTATTTCTAAAGCGCTGGTTTAATCCAATCCAGGTCAGACTAAACATTGTCAAGGGATGTGTTAATATGATTGCTTTCATGTTCTGCAGCTATCTGGCCACAATTACAGCAGATATTTAATACTATATTTTTCATAACTAAAGAAAACCAAAGTATTTCCCCTATTATTGTAAGACTGGAGACTAAACAGGCTTAAAAGTCAAGCTGACTGAAAACACACAGGTGCCAAATGCTCAAAGCAAACATTCCGAAAAGGCATACTTTCCCTTCTGTTCCTGTTTTATTACATTAAAGAGCTACAGGTAACAGCACTGAACAAATTTTCCAAGTGGATATCCAAGTGTGTAACTACTTTGACTGGAAGAAGCTACTACATAACACAGTTATATGTGCTCTCTGTCCTGACTGCCTCTGCATTTCTTAGCAGGCATCAAGGCGCTGATTTTGACCTACACATTACTTCATTTTGTCCCCAACAAATTCCTCACTCGGCAGGGCATGTGAACTGAAACCATTCCACTTAGCGGGACCAAAAAGGATGGTCCAATGTTATCTACAGCAGGGCTCCTTTAGTGCCAGAAGTCACCTCAGAGTTAAGCTCTGATAGCTCAAATCCACTCACATTTTTCCACAGAAATGCCTTCACTTGGATGACATTCTGTGGGACAGCTGTAGTTTACTTGCTTACATTGCTTTTGAGCAAGTCTTTTTCTTTCAGTAAGAGTAGAGGCACCGCATAAGGGTATCTCTTGCCCTTTTCCTTTCCAAATGAGTGATTAAATTCAGCTGTGTTTCCTCAGGGTGAAGCTTACGTAACTGTGTAATGCTTTGCTACTGCTTGTGCGCTTAATTGAAAATTGTTATTAAATTTCTAAAGTAATAAAGATATGAAAAGAAGCAAGGGGGTTATAGGTTTGCTTCACCTGCTTTCTGATTCAGGCTCACCTAGCCACCCACTCATTTTTAAGCAGTTCCTTACACGTTTAATATGTTAAATGCATTCAGTTTATTACACTTACAACTTTACTTTTAAGAAAGAAAACCCGTATTTTCAACTACAACCAAACATGGCTGTACAATCTGTTACAATTCCTGAACAAGGCAGCAGGAGCAACATTAAGACTCCTCAGCGCTCTCTCCAAAAGGTAAGCTTCGGGCACCAAGTCTGCTTTTTAGGTATTTTAATCCAACTTGACGGCCACTCTAATGCATGTCTGATGCCAGTATCAGCCACTGGTTAGAGGGGTACAATGGGGGAGAAGAGGAGCTGGGGCCTTTTTCTTGGAAACATCCCTTTCCCTAAGAGGAGCAGCTGACATGTGCTACCTGCATGCCTCCAGAGATTCCCTTCCCCAGACAGCTGTGGGTCTGCAATGCCAACCTCTGAGCTGGGAAAGTGGAAGACTCTTCTGACTTATACTTTCCAGCTGATTTTTGCTGAGTTCCTTACAACATTTTATCAGTGCTGGGGGGACAGAAGCAAATTTTATGACTGTTTATTGGTCTGTAATGCTAAAAACAAGTGGTAGTTGTAAAGATGATTCCTGTGAGATAGAAACCAGATATCCACCCACAATACAATAAAAAAGATTAATCTTAATGCAGACCACACAAGCATCTTTCTTTTTGTTCCAGTGGATTTAAACCAAGATGCTCTGCTTTTTTTTAAGATCTACGTATTTTACAGCAATATGAATGTTACATTGCTAACTAAATAAAACGCAGCTTTGTAATTGGCAACTTTTTTTCAAACGCTTCAAGACTGAACCATGAACAAGATTTTTCCATGCAGGCACACTGCATGAAAATGAACATGCTTAGCAATCTGCATTGGGTCTTCAAGAAAATGGTATCCAGCAGACTGCAGCAACTACCGGTTCCCTTATGGAACTGGCCAAGCAGGTCAAACTATCTTCATTATTTCTTCCCCACCTTCAATGCCTGAGAGAGTTCTGCCCTTTGCTCTGTATTTTCTTGTCAAGCTTGGTTCACCCATCCATCCTGCTACACTGCTGCTCCCAACCAGTCACCAGTATTTAAATTTTCTCTCCATCACCTTCATGGTTTCTTTCATGCATGGCTGGACTTCCTCAAGCTCACCGAACCTGTAAGGAAGCCTGTATTTTGCACTCTTAGAGAGACCCAATTCTGCCACACAGCTTACAGTCCATCTCATACTCTAACTCTCTCTCTATATATGAGGCATCTGCTTTTCCTTGCATATTTGCTGCTAGAGCCCGAGTCCTGAAAAAAAGGGAGCACCTGCAAGTGGGGAATGGCCTCTAACTTCAGCCTCTGAATCTACTGAGAGCTATTATAAGTAAAAACAAATCAACAAATATGTAATGAAGCCTTTCAGCTCACGCTGACCTCTTCAGGCACTAGTGGTTCAATCATAGGAGCTTCCTCCTGCCTTGCTGCAAGCCGAACGGGAGATGTGGAAAGCCTCTTCTCCCACTCATTAGACACAGCCGTTTCTGTGGAGGTTTCCAAGAAGGTGCGTTTCAGCTCACTTATATTGGTCTGATGTTTCATCAGATCTTCCTGGGTTTTGTCTAGGTCCTGGACAGTTTTAAAAGAATAGAGCAGTTTGTAATACATCCTAAGCCAATCAAGTTTTAGAGCCAAAACACACAACTTGGTCAGTAAAGAGGGAAGTAACATGTCAGGGAGCCGGGGAGCACAGCACTAACACAACACTCTGTGAAAATGTGGCATTTTGAAAGATAACAGCATAGCATATCTCATACAAGTGAGCAAAAAAATACTCTTAAAGAGCTTATCCATATCACTATATATTACACCTGATAAAGAGGCTTCAAACAAACATACATATGCGCGTGGACTCACACACACATACGCGCACGCATATATATATTTATAGTAAAAGTTAGAGGAGTCATCATAATCTGAGAAGAAAAAATCTATTTGATTTATTAGCAGGTGGGAATACACAGTTCATGCATCATAGTGCAGATTCACAGTTTACCACTAAAACTAACACACATGTACGTACATGCACTGGTATATACCAATACCAACCTCTAACATAAGATTACTATGTTTGACATACACATTTTCACCCTGTATTCGCTTAATCAGACTATTCTGAAAGAAGTGAAAAAAGAAAGGGAAAGGTAAGGGACACAGTATTGAAAGGATACAAAATGCTGTTTCTACACATTTCTTCACAGAGAACCAACAATAACATGCTGAGAGAGGTGAACACCTCCAACACTGATACTTGAGCAACATCTGGGCCTTTTGTTTCTGTACCTGTGCCTTTAGATCTCCGTCTTCCTCTTGATCCGACTGCCAGCATGAGAAAGATTGGAAAACAACACCTTACCCACTCGTACGGCTGAAGGCTTTAAAAAAATTGGCGAGTGGAACATGCTAGGTTGAGGTCACATTTTCTCTACACGAAGGGCTTAAGGAGAAGGAGCAGACATGCTGGTTGACTTTGCATGGTTCTCATAACTCAGAGCAAGCCTCCCCTTTTCAAACTTGTTAATTGTGAATGAAGGAATATTAAACATTTTCCTTATTTTTTATAAACAACATCGGTGCGCTCCAGGTTCACAGATCTCTATTTAGGGAGCAGAAGTTAGACCTTCTCACTAAGATCGTGTCTGGTTTAGGACCAAATGGCAACAGGAAATTCTTTGGAAGTCCATAATCCCAGAGTTTAAACATATGACATCTCCTGGGCCACAGGCAAAGCTTTGCAGAAAATCACCATGGGTAAACAACCCACAACACTTTCTATAGAATGAAGCATATTTTATTATATAAATATTTTATTATTTATTCTTTATATAAATAATATGTTTATATAAATATATAAAATAAATATATTTATTAAATAAAATTATACTTCCCTAGCCCTGGTCTCTTTCTTTATTTATATAATTTCCTATTTAGTGTGCAGATATTCTTTCAGGATCTATCCGCAGCGGTGATATTCTGGAACATCATACACACCACACTCACTTCAGCTCACATTTTCAAACGTAATGCAACATGGACTGCCTAAGCAGCCCAGTTTCTGAGGGTTGAATTTTCAGATGACAAGGATACCACACTTTTTGAAAATCAGGTAACCATAAGGAAAATTGATGTTCACATAATCCTCTCCCCTAAAATACAGGTGGCAGCTAGGGAGATTATAATGCATTTTTAATAAACTGAACATTTTCAATGTCACGGTTTTAGGATTAAGTTTTACTTTCTGTATGGCCCAAGGCCTGAAGCCATACAGTGCAAGAAGCACTTCAAAGCATTTTGTACTCCTGACTCATCTCAACAGACTTTATGTTGCTGCTCCGTTCGGATTCTTTTAATGCTTGTGCCACTATTTCATTGTTAATTTTTCATACAGTCCTAATTAGTCAAATGACCCACGGGAAAATCTTTATCTGTTGATTACTTTAGAACTCAGTTCAAATCTATTCTATTTACAGACAAGGCTGAATTGCCCTGACACGTCACACAGAGAATTTTTCCTCGATGATAATTTTAACAGTCTGAAATATTAATGAGATCCTACTAAAAACCTATAGTAGTGTTTGTAGTAAGACTCTGTCTTCTACCAGATGTCAGCCCAAATACACCTCATGTTTGCAGCTGCAACCATATTAATTATGAAAGCATTATATGCACTTCACTGGAGTCACACAAGGTTGAATTTGCCCGCACAGTCTATATACCATGTTGTGGATATGAGGCTTATCAGTGCAAAGAAAATCACAATTTTTAAATGTTCCTCCTCTGCAGACAATACCTGGACTAGAGGTGGCAACACGTGAAGATGACACGTGAAATTACATTGAAGGAAAACCTTAGATATTTGTAATCTGGAAATCATTTCATTCAGAAAATTTGAAAGCTGCTTTTTATTGTCTTTTTCTCCCTCTCCCTCTCGCACAGGCTGCAGATTATAAGAGCAAACAAGCGAACTGAACACCCAGGGCACAACCTGGCCAGCACGACGGTCCCAGGTGGGCGGCGGTGGCATGGGTGACGCTGCCACCGCCCCGCTCTCATCACAACACAGAGACCTCACTGTTTCCAAACCAAACGCAGAAATAAGAGGCACCCATCGGGAGCACTGAGCAAAGCTCTCGCGCTTGCACGCGGGTGCATGCACACACGCGCAGAGAAGGATCCTGAATGCCACAGGAGACATGCATTTGGCACTCAGGATCGGGAAGAGACGAGGCAAAACCCTCTCCCCTGCCATAACTGGGCGCTGGCAACTGTACAAACCTCGGTGGCAGTGGTCTCACCATCCGCTGCAGTATCCGTCTGCTCACTGTCAGTCTGTTTGGTTAGACAAGGAACCAGGTCCCAAGAGGAAGGCAGGAATAAAGAATAAACCCAGCTCATCAGTACACGCGGCTCACACGGGGAACTGTTAAATTCAACATCCCTGCAAACTGCATTAGCATTGCTTTTCAAACCACGCACAAGTCAAAGAAGCAAAAAAAAAATGCTATATTAGTAAACAGAACAGACTCAGAGGAAGACTCGAGGCGTACTGTACACAGTATACGGCTTTACTGGAACAAATTTATAAGCCAAACAAAACACTACTAGAAAGGTGTTATTTGAATAGCAGATTTTTTTCTTAGGAAAGCCAGGTGGCTTTAAAAAAAAAAAGGGGAAAAAAAAGCTAATATTTTTTAAACAAACTTTTCTTCCCATAATTTTTTTTAAAGAAAATTATTCATCATTTTTTTGCTCTAGCCAATATAGATTAATGTGGTATTTGACTTTTTATCTGGAGGGTGAAAAGATAATTTAAAAAAAAAAAGCTACTTTAACAGTCACCTGACTTTCAGCCCCTCATTTGTACAGAAGTTGTTCTTGTCTCCACATTTATGCACCATGAGGCTGTCTGCATTACCAAGGAGTTCAAATAACCACATCCCCCAGCCCATTCTACTGTCTGTCTGTGGAGTAATGGTAAGTCTTAGATCCCACTCGGTTCCAATAAAGAGCAGCTGATATTGTTAACCATAGTAAAAAGAAAGAAAATTGCCATTAAAAGAATCAAAAATACTTCTCATTCCATTTAAGAATATGGATGAAAGCAGGAGAAAAATAAAAGTAACTCCCCCTCCCAAAAACACTCACTAGGTACAAGTGATAAAAATGAAACAAAGCACAGCATTGTACAGACTGATCTATCCCTGCTTTGCTCGACAACCCAAAGAACATTTTAGTGGTGAATGCATGTGTTGAGATTTAATAGACTTGAGTGTAGGATACTACAGGCTGAGAAGAGAGTTCTGATGATTACTATTTTTGATGTTATGCAAGCTTATGGAAAACTAGTAAGTAAAGTGCTCCCTTCTGCTCCAGACTGGCACATCCAAGTTGTTTCAACATCAGTGAAAGCTCTGCTTTAGATTAGTGATTTTTTGTGGTCCTTAGATAATCTAAAGTAACCCAAACAGGTAATTTAAAGCTAGGACAATACATCTCATCCTCAAATCACATCAGTATGAACAAAGAGAAAAAAGCAACCTACTGGTGGATGGAGTATCACTCTTAATATTGAATTGCCTATCTTCTGTCCTTTTCTGACAACTCCAATGTTTCATAAAACTGCTTTTTGGACATTTTTTCATCGCTCTGTTCTCTGTCGTTCCTTCCTTTGAATAATTTGTGTTGCTTGTATGACAGGCAGAAGAATAAGTGGGCATTTTGGACCATTTGGTAAGTGCATGAATACAAGTTACATGCAATTTTTCAAGCAATTCAAGCAACTCACTAGACAGACCACTTTTATTTTAAAATGAAATTGTAATGCCAAAATGGTCTATCTAGCTGGTCAAATTGCGTTCACTAAAATCTTAGAAAATTGTTTCTTTATTAGTGAAGGATCTCACATCTTCATAGCATTATAAGTAATTGTAAAGGTATGGCAATATTAAAAAAACCCTATGCATTGTCACACCTGTTTACAACAACAACAAAAAATTAATCTAGGCATTCCAGAAAGCCAACCGTGTCCTGGGCTGCATCAAAAGAAGCATTAGCAGCAGGTCGAAGGAGGTGATCCTCCCCCTCTACTCTGCTCTTGTGAGACCCCACCTGGAGTACTGTGTTCAGATGTGGGGCCCCCAACATAAAAAAAGACCTGGAGAGTCCAGAGGAGAGCCACAAAGTTGATCAGAGGGCTGGAGCACCTCCCCTATGAGGACAGGCTGAGAAATGGGGTTGTTCAGCCTGGAGAAGAGAAGGCTCCAAGGAGACCTTATAACAGCCTTCCAGTACCTGAAGGGGGCCTACAGGAGAGATGGGGAGGCACTCTTCATCAGGGAGTGTAGTGAGAGGACAAGGAGTAACAGTTATAAACTGAAAGAGGGCAGATTTAGATTAGATATTAGGAAGAAATTTTTCACTGTGAGGGTGGTGAGACACTGGAACAAGTTGCCCAGGGAAGCTGTGGATGCCCCATCCCTGGAGGTGTTCAAGGCCAGGCTGGATGAGGCTTTGGGCAACCTGGTCTGGTGGAGGGTGTCCCTGCCCATGGCAGGGGGATTGGAACTCAATGATCTTGAAGGTCCTTTCCAACCCAAACCATTCTATGATTCTATGATTCAGTGATTCAGTCAATATAAATATTAGCTGTTAAGGTAAGAACACAGAAGCTAATGAAATCTAAGGGGGGGGGGGGGGGGGCTGTGTCTGACTGCATGGACTGCCTCCAGATGCACTGCTTGAGGGAGATGGGAGCTCAGCAAGGTATGAGATTGGTTTAGGGTACTGGTTGCAGCCTTCTGTATCACTGTGTGTAATCTGTGAACTGGGGGGAAAAAGAAAGTTTCTATTTCTTTTATTGTAACAGCAATTAAATCCTAAATAAGGCATAAAATTTGCTTTATTGCAACATACATGTCTGCCAATCCGCCAACCAACAGCCATGGAGTCAAAGTCACCATTACTGAGTCACTTGAAGGAAACTGTTGGGGTTACTGCAGAGCAGGGAATGGTGAATTAAGGCTCAGTAAGGCAGGTTTCCTCTGGAGTGGAGAGTAAGAAAGGCCGAGCTCAGCTCCAAGATGGGCTGTAGAGCAGCTGTGGGTGGGGCTCGCAGGTGGGCGAGGGATCGAGCAGGACAGGAAGGCAGCTATCTCCTGAGAGGCAGCGGCTGCACCTCCTCTAACTTGCGATCATTAACTGCTGTGATTTGTTTTGCCAATGTAATGCAGACATGCCCGAGTTTAAAACATATTCACTTTCATGCAATATTTTGAACAAGAAATACCCCCTGGATTAGGCACAAGTCTGTGTTGTCTGCCAGGAAGCACTGCCAGAGTAATCACCCTCATAAAAAAGCGACACAAAAAAGCCTATTTTATATGCTTTTATGCTCAACACTTCCTAACTTTACTAACAAAAAGAAGTCCTCATTTCTGAAAGAGGAACAGACCAATGTATTACATAAACACTGCATCGTTATTGCCTCTGGAGCTGGCTCTGTATTAATGCTGTTATTGCTATTAGACTAATCCAAGTGCAGAGCTAATGCAAATTGAGACCTAAATGCTATCTCAAAATGAGGACGTGAAATGAGACAGCAACATTTTGGATGCCTTTTATCAGAAATTGCACATTATTATTTAGTTGTTAGACATCACAGAGCCGAAAGCATCTAAAGACAATGTTTTTACAAGATAAATGGATGCAACTTTTGGCTTTCCATAAAAAGGAAATTAAATCCTGCACCAAGTCTTAACAAAACCAACAGCGTCAGATTACGCAAATGTTTAGATGTGCGAGCTGGCTTATTGAAGACAATCACTGCAACAGCATCAACAAGTGGCCAAGATGGCTTTTTACAAAGGGCCAACTAGTCTGTGATTATCTGATCTGGGGTTTTTTAACATACCATATTTTTGCATTTGAAGATGAAGTGAAAAAAGGAAAAAATTAGGAAAAAATTAACTACTATTTTTATTCTGTCAACAAAGAATAACTAGGCACCAGCAAAAACTTAGATGCCAGTTACTGTGTAATTAAAACAAGCAGACTCTTTTCCATCTTCTGGATATATTACCATATCCACAGTTCCCAGAACCACTGTGGATTCCTCCTGCATTTCATTTATCTGCCTGTGATAACCCTGGTGGCTTGAGGCATTGGTTTTAGCAGTGCTAATATAACACTGCAAATGGCAAGACAGCCCACATGGCATGCTCCCCGAACAGCTGCAGAACAGCTATCCCAATCTGACCTCTCACTGACACACTGGATTCAAGCACAGGAAAACAACTTAATCCGCAGAAGAGATGGGATCAAGGCTGAAAATCCAGATCCAGGTATTGCTGGACCAGAAAGCCTTTTCTGGGACCTACCTACAGTTGATGGCCTCTTGCAAAAAGCTGAGTCCACCTGAATTTCAAATACCCTTAAGTTTGTGAGGGTGCCCACTATTATTGTCTAGCTATTTGTATAAATACATTGTATATACATATACATACATATGGATGCATATATAACTATGTAGGAAATTGTACTTAAGTCCCACTTTTTAGATAACTATTCTAACCCTAGTATAAACTGATAGGGGGAAGGTCTTGGTGGGTTCAGATACAATACTTCAGAGCTGATCAGTGGCAATTTGTTTAGTGCAAGTCACATCACATCAGCTGACACAGTTCAAACCAAGCCACTTCCACACAGTGTTGTGCCTAACCCTGGGCCCCAAGCTGCACTCCCAACATGAGAAAAAAAACAAAAAAGAAGAAAAAAACCCCAACCAAACCACAAACCAAAAAAACCCCAAACAACCCAAACCACCCCTTCTAACATATCAGCACAGACAGAAATGAGGCTCTGAAAGTAGGACCACTATTGCAGCAATCTAACACTGGTTAGGACTGTAGAACTGAACACGAAAAAGAGTGTGTTCGATGCCGAGGTACACACCTCTTCCTCTGAACTGTCACTCAGGTCATTGGCAAGTGAGGCACTCAAGGAGGCCGCCTTGGGCTCCAGGTAGCAGAGGCACATAGCCAGAGGAAAGGAGAGAGTGAGGGCATATGGCACTGAGAAAGAGGCAGAGAGCAGAAAGAAAAAAATGAAGAGGAAGCAAGGCACCAGGGAGGGGGAGCGGATGGGCAGGTAGTGCTGCACGCTGGCAGGCAGGAGGTTGGTTTCAGAAAGGTTAGGGAGTGACAGGTAGCCATCGTCATCCAGGAGGGAAGGAAATGACTCTGGAAGTTGCAAGGAGAAGGAAAACAGCGTTCCGCCTTTGCCGGCTTTTTGCTTATAGCTGAAAGCCATGTCTTGCTCAGTGGAGCAAACTCGCCCCTTTCTGTCAGAGTCCGGCTCCGACTCGCCATGCTTTGGAGTGCTCTCTTCGGGCGCCTCACAACCTAGCGACTTTGTTCGAGCACTCTCCTTGCATCTCCTGCGAAGCTTTGCTGAAGATGCATGGGGGCCAGGCTGCGAGGATGGCGAGGGGTGGTGGGAGTCAGTGCCAAGCAAGGATGGCTGGTGACAGAGAAAGAGCAGCAAACAAGGCGCAAAAGCAAAAGGACAAAAAGAAAACTGTAATTAGTTAATTTTCTTCCGTGATGGTAAATAATATATATATAATTATAAACAGTATTTTAACACCACAGCTTTCCACTAAGTTAAATGGTGCATGTTCCCATGCTGCACACCACAGGTGTTAGTG